AGGCTCATCTTCCTGTCCGCCCGCACCTCCCATGCCTCACCCTTCTGTCAGTCCCTACATTGGCTTCCTATAAGATATAGAGCTCAATTAAAAATTCTGGTTCTTGCTTTCAAATCTCTACATAATGCTGCTCCCACCTATCTATCCTCCCCTATACACAAGTATGCCTAGGCCCTTACGATCTGCTGAAGACTTACGTCTATCTTCTGTCCGTACTCCCACCTCTGATGATGTTTGCCTTCAAGATTTCTCGAGGGCTGCACCGTTCCTGTGGAATTCGCTTCCCTCCTCCATTAGATGCTCACCCAGTCTCCACTCCTTCAAAAAATCGTTAAAAACCCACTTCTTCATAAAAGCGTATCAATTAAACTGTTAATAGCTCCCGACTGACTCCTCTTCTGCAACTGTCACTAGTTAGAACACTCTCCTTACCTTTTTGTGTCATTTTACCCCACTCCCTCTAGCATGTAAGCTCATTGAGCAGGGCCCTCAACCCCTCTGTTCCTGTCCAACTTGTCTGGTTACAACTACATGTCTGTTCGTTCGTCCATCCATTGTAAAGTGCTGCGGAATTTGATGGCACTATATAAATGGCATAATAATAATATTAATATTTCTAACATTGGCTGTATGAAAGTAGGATGTGAAAATGTATGCCAGTAATGGAACACATTGTAGCAGTCATATGCAATAGGATCAATGCTAGCATACAATGTACATGGAGTTTAATTTCTTATCATTTCAACCAGACTTATTATGTGGGTCATAACTGTCCTCATCTTCTTTTCCTCTCTCTGTGGACTTCTATATTCCTCTACTAAGCGTTGTTGAAGAAGACAAATCAGAATATTCATGTTTTGGTTTGTTTTAAATGTGACCCAAATTGATCTAAAAACCAATAGTCAAACTGGCTCTGCCTTCAGTTTGATTCCCTGTGAAAATGTCTATTTTACACAATTTATTTGAAGGCATTTTACTTGACTTTTGTTGATATTAAGTGAATGAAATTAAAGTTGATTTGAAAGTAGTTGAAAATATCTTACAGATTTTATAAGTCGCACCAAAGATTCACTGAAAAGTACATGTAAAAATGTGTGGAACAGTTTGATAAACCTCCCACAATGTTTCTGTTCTCCTTCTCATTTGCCATGTATATCATGGCTTTGCCTAGACTGTATTCCGTTGTCGCTAAATCTTTAACATACTATATGAAAAGAAAAAGAAGCATCACATGGGAAAAAAAGGATGAGGAAAGCACCACAATCTTTACGCTGTGCTTTAGTGGTTATGGTGCCAAGAGTGTGCTGGAGCCCTAAAAATATAGTTAGTCAAAATTTTTGCGCCAGTTGCTTTCTTGATGGAGAACAGGAAAGCTTCTGCCGTGAAGCTTCCATTAGCTCTCCTGAGCTAAACCCTGTCATTTAAGGTTTAATTGGTTTAGAAAATCAACTGAGCACTCTCAGCCAGTGAGCTAAACCCTCCACCACTGTGCATAGCTCAATGCAGAGAGCTCCTGGCTGTCATAGGGGAGATGACTGGTGCAGAGCTAACTCCAAGTTAGTTGTCAAAGTGTTAGAAAATGGTTTGATTACTTACATTAATGGGGAGCCAGGGCACTATAGGTATCATAGACAATACAGTGTGCTGTAGATGGTTATGATGTTTGGAGTGTTCCTTTAACACAAGACATATGTAAGTTTATGTTTTATTCAATGGTTTCTAGACAAATGAAAGTTCTGCTTTAAGAGTCTCATGAAAAAAAGAAATACACAAAAGCCACAACCGCATTTGGTGGCTCTAAACATTTAGCTGTTGTGGAAAATTAAGTGTCTGTAAACTTTTTTTTTTCTGTTTTAGAATAATGAAATGTGCACATAGTCTCCATGCATTTAAGTCAAAATAGAAAAAAATCAGAAACAGTTTTCCTTAACAGATATTTTAGCCCCAATGTCAAATTGTAAGCTCCTTCCTTTTACCTCCCAGTAATCATTTTTGAATATGTGACACTGCAATATTTTGTTTACCAGATTAAGACTGATAGTCAGGGAGAGAGGGCTGCTGTGTGCATCTAAATGATACAATCTCAATTTTTGTACTACATTAAAAAAAAATTCAAAATGGGTAATGGTAAATAAATTTACTGTCCTGTGTTTTTTAAAACTCTAGCTAACTGAAATCCAAATGGGAAAAATTAATAAAACACACCTAATGTCACAGTTTGGTTATTTGTGACAATACGTTGCCCTTTGGTTTTTAATTTGCTTAAATTAGTATTTTAGGAAATAACACTGTATATACACACACTGCACTATCTAGAAAAAGAATGATTGCTAACAATTTTATACTGATACAGCATGTGCGAACATTCTCTAAATTTACTTTAAAGAGGGAGATCAAGCTAGTGTTTTGGTTGTTTGTTTCCCATCCCTACCTAACAATATTTCTTTACACATTTTGGGACTAAATGGGGAATTTGGAAACATTCTCTATTTGTGATAAAAGCAAACGTGTCAGACTAATCCGGGCCTCATACATTCCAGTGTTAGAATTTGACGGTATATCCGCCTGTCACCGTGAGAGGCGGCGGCCTCACAGCAGGCCACGGCCCCTCCCCACGCACTGTTTACAATCTTGACCGAAACCACTAGTGCGGCCTACTATTAGCGCCGCAGCATGAGCTAGCCTCGATTTTAGCTGCGCCGCTCAGGTTCACCGATACTGGGCGACACATAGCAAGCAAAGCCCCGGTCTTCGTAACACACTAGGCCCAAGTTACACAAAAGCACCGAGATACTCACACACGTATACAAGTTATGCAGGAGCCTATAAAATGCTTCAAGCAAACAGTGAGAAACGTCCAGGCGACGTTAAACTACGAGGCTGCACGGTCAGCACACATACGGTATTAGAGAAAACATTAATAGTCACATTACCATGTACATATCCAGACTGGAGAATAGAATAACACAGTCTGTTACTAAAATATTTAAAATGATAATAATCTACCGAAATGTCAGGTTATAATATGCATAGTGCATGTGATTTGTGTATTCAGCTACACAATATATTTGCAAACCTTTTACTGAGTTTGGGTATTAGCATAGCCTTTAATATACTGTATTTACATTACAATATTACAATATTTCTATAATCACTGCAAACAATTGTCTATAGATAGGCTTTACATACACGTCTATGCATGCATATACACTTAATATATTTAGCGAGAGAGAGACAAAGAGACAGAATGTTAGAATACACAAAGTTCTATTTTAATATACTCACTTTCTCCATTGGTTTGGCCACAGAACATCATACTTAAGATGGCGAAAACTCCCAGCAGGAACCTCCAGTCCACCTTGGGAGTGGGGTTATTATTGGGGTACCCCACACCCCCTATTACACTTTGTCCCATGGCTAACCCTTCTCTCTCAATATTAGTATATTAAGGTTTCCCAGTAAGAGAGAAAGAAGGTGACGATGTCGTTTTGTTTTTATTCTTCTCTCTCCAAAGAATACAACAATGAATCAGTAGTATCCCTGGATAGAACTCTGTATATACTATTTAATTATATGATCTTGACAGCTCACACACTGTGGCAGCATGATGATTTCTGAGAGCAGCTTCGATTGGGAAATAATGTCCACACTGATAAGAAAGAGACGGCAGCAACATACAATTAACACACTCTTTCTGTGAGTGGGGAAAACCTCGTTTTTTTCCTTGGTTGGGGAGGTGGAAATGATGGAATACTGTATGGTTTCTTGAAGATGTTTTTTTTTTTTTTTTTTCTATTTCCTTTTTGCCGATCTGCTGAATCCTAGAGCCTCCAATCGTTTCTCGACAACAGGGGGGCTGGTTATATAGGATTTGTAAAGCTTGAGCACAGCGCCAAGTTTTTTTTCCTTATTTCCTTCTCACTAATCACAGGAAAATATTTGCATGAAATCCTCAAAAGTAATCCAGAGTATGTCACAAAAATAACTTCCTGATTTTTTTTCTTTGTTGCAACAGGAAAAGGAAAAGAAATCCTGTTTTTTGTTGTTTTTTTTAATTCTTCTTCATTGTTATTATTCCCTTTCCACCCCAAAATTAGAAGGAGTGTGAGAAAAGACGTTTCCTTTTGATTGATGAATCTTGGGTTCTATCCACATCACCAACAATGCAGAGTTGCACTGGTCACGACTTGAGAATGCATGTGTGAATTCTTAAATGGGGCCCAGCGTATGATCGCTTAAAAATGTCTTCACCCCTCCAGGGAGAAACAAATCCTCATTTATGAGCTAGAACTGATAGTTGAAAACACTTCAGATTTCTCACCTCCTGTTTTCTGTCTGCTCCCAAGATCTTGCAAAAAAAATAAGTAAATAGGAAACAAACCATGAAAACTATGCAGAAATCGAGATTTGTACAAAAATATATACACATATATGTTACTAGTTCTTGCAAAGTCTCTCTCCCCCCCCCCTTTTCCACCAGTATCCAACCAGTAAACAAGAACTGTTAGTCAGCTGGGAGAGGAGAAAGGGCTATTGCAATATCTGGTGTGGAATCACAGTGGAAGGGAGTCTGTGCCTAGCATTGACAGAGAAATAACCCCCCTTCATAACAATATTTATAAAACGTTCAGAGGAGAAAACTGAAAAAAGGGAGGAAATCAAGGGAAAGGGGGTGGCTCTAACTAATTCTCTTGATAGTGATTATACAAATTACTGAAAAATGACACCAGCTATATATATATCTGTCTGGATTGTAAATGATTTTACGTTGGCTTCCAGAGTACTCTTTGTGTGCAGTAGATGAGCATGTTCTGTGTGAATTAAAAAATAAATTGTCCGTTTGACAACAAATGTCACAGCGTGGAGTAGATCAAGGAAGAACTAGCTGTAAAAAAAAAAAAAAAAATACATTAAAAAACAAAACAAAATGTTCTCTTCTTTACAGCCTCAGTGTGATTGCCGTTTGTCACAGACTTTTTTTTTTAATTTGATCTGCACACCTAGACAGGATAGACGCCTAGATGCACGTACACCACTCAGTATATACTTATAATTGTATCACTTTTCTTATACATTTCTATATATTGTTATATAGGTCTTCACGTCATAAATTAAGGGTAAACATAAGTCTGCATTGTAATAGTGCAAGGGAGCTATTATGCTAATTTAGATGCTAGAAACTAGATATTAGAATTAATTATATCAAGTCCATTGTGATATATTATGTATATCTTCAGATTTTCCATATATATATATATATATTTTAATCTCAATCTTGTTTCCCAGGTTGATAGTAAAAAAAAAAAATAATAATAATAATAATAATGCTAGAAACCTGTAATAAAATGCGTACACGTTTTCATTATAGATAAAAAATATATATATATATATATATATATATATATATATATAGTTACATGAGAACAACTGTAATGTAACTCATAAGTCAGATGCATTTCTGATTGGAATCTTGGGTAGTGAGGTGTAGAAAAACAGACAATATAATAATAATTGTAGTTAAATAGCAAGGTCTATAATGCATTGCAATTGAGAAGTGTACAGTACAGCATTTCAGAGTTTTTGTAAATACTGCTGAACACACCTTTCACGTGATATTCTTCACTTTAAACGCTTGTAAGTGTACTATGCAGAAGCTCCAGCAATAAACATGTCTGTAGTTTTAGCAGAAGTGTTGTTGTGCAGGTTAAGATATATGAGAAACAGTTACAAGTTGGTTTTTCATGGTGTTTTCAAACAGCAGTTATTACTTAGGAAACAATTACTGCAAAGTGGAAGGGTTATAGAAGTATGTTTGATAAACAAACGCTGACACGCATTTTATTGTTTATATATCCCTGAGGCATAGCTAGTTTCATTGACATGCTGATGTGTTCTTTAAAGCATTGTCTACACCCGATTCAAGGTGACTTATTTGCATACAAAGAAAGTAAAAAAGGATAGCATTGGAACCCAGAAGGAGATGTGTAAATAGGGGTTTGTTTGAGGTAACAAGAGGGGTGCAGAATTAAGACTATTATTGTTCTCATATCCAGGGGTAATATACCAAAGACATACCTTTTATTTACAGGAACACATGTTGGAAACCCTTGAGGAATAATAAAAAAAAAAAAAACTAAATTAATATAAAACAAATAGTAACATTTGTTTATTGCAATCTTTTACCTTAACTTCATATTGTCTCCAAACCATTTATTTGCTGAGAGATTACTCCAATAATTTGCAGCATTTCACATAGATTAAACCCATCTTTTTTCCCTTTCCTTTTTGCTATTAGTCTAAGCTATTATAATACATTCTTACTGCATTAGTTTACTAATCAGTCACCATCTATATTCCAACACATAGCTAATCCATAATGCAATTTTACTGAGCACAGTATTTGTATTTTTGGTACATTGCCAATATTACATTTTTTTTAAAAAATCTCAAAATAACGGCCCATGTTTTGTCCACTTTAGTGACCAGGTGTGTTTTTTGGCATTGCAGAATAAATTACCTCTGTCAACTGCCCCATAGAGGTTAACCTAAAACCAGCTGTCTAATCTCCCCCTCCATTCGAGCTTTCCCAACATAACTAACTTTATTTTCGTTCCATTTGATGTTGTTCCAATAGATATCGGTGAAGGTTTCACACAAAACACAATGCCAATACACCAGGTTCCTGTGCTGGCCCTGAAAAAGAGACCTCCGCCAACTGTCCGTGAGACTAGGACATGTTGAGAGAAAACAACTTGAAAATAATCACAATTTTGCGATAAAGACAAGGACAAAATAAACTGTTTAAGAGAAGAAAAATGCCATAAAAAAAAGACGTTTAGAAAGAAAAACAAATATAGAATTTATGTAACGGTAAAATTAATTATATAAATAGAACAACTGTAGATATCTATAAGTTTTTTGTTTTAACTAGGTATAGTACAGATCTTTGAAAAGTATATTACACTGTGTTCGGCAGAACTAGACCTTTTAACAAAAGTATAAGCGCATTAAAAGGGGATTGTCACTTCTCAACTCTGGAAGATTACCTATAGCTTGTGTTAGTCCTTTTCATGAGATACCATATTTCCTTACAGATTTATATGAAAGATTTAGCAAATAACATAATAATCCAGTTCAGACAAGGCAAAGCCAGGGAACACTGCAAATGAGGATAAAAAGAAACATTGTTTAATTTCTCCTCTTCTCTATGCTCAGGACTGCCAGGTGTAAAGGAGAAAATGTATGACAAGGATTGACAATAAATTTAATGGAGCTACTCAGTTGCACAATGGGAATTTCTATATTTAATATTATAATTTTCACACCTCACAAATACATACTTGTTAAATATAGGGATACATAAACATAACATTAAAAATCAAGAGAGGTGACAGTTAGCCTATAAAGAAACAATCTAAACTCCAAGCTACCAAAACAAGTTTAGCTTCATGAAGAGGTTTTGGTGCACAGATCATGTCACGGAAGACTCTGTTTAAAGGGACACTATAGTCACCAGAACAACTACAGCTTATTGAATTTGTTCTGGTAAGTAGAATCATTACCTTCAGTCTTTTTGCTGTAAACATTGTCTTTTCAGAGAAAATGCAGTGTTTACATTACAGCCTAGTGATAACTTCACTGGCCACTCCTCAGATGGCTGTTAGAGATCCTTCCTGGGTCATGGCTGCCTAAAATGCATCCAAACATTCAGTGTCTCCTCCCTCTGCATGCAGACACTGAACTTTCCTCATAGAGATTCATTGATTCAATTCATCTCTATGAGGAGATGCTGATTGGCCAGGGCTGTGTTTGAGTTGTGCTGGCTCTGCCCCTGATCTGCATCCTTGTCAGTCTCAGCCAATCCTATGGAGAAGCACTATGATTGGATCAGGCTACAACTTCTGATGTCAGAAGATCAGGCTACCACTTCTGATGTCAGCAGACTGCTTGTTTTTCTGAGGCAAACAGCATGCAGAGTTACAACTTCAGGTTTGAATACAGTAATATTTTTGCTATATTTATGGCGGTTTTAACACTATAGGGTCAGGAATACATGTTTGTTTCCTGACCCTATAGGGATCATTTAATACTCTGCCATATAAGAGTTAAATCACTTTGTTTATGCAACCCTAGCGACACCTCCCATGGCTGTGATTAGTACAGCCTCACTACACATGTCTTTTAAAAAGTCTACATTTTTTATCTTCCCTTATTGCAAAGTGTATATAATTTGGATTTTTTTTTTTTTTTTTTAGCTTAATGCAGGAAGGTGAATTGTTAGTGTAGAACTTACCTAAGATATTTTGCCTTGACATGGCAGGTGAGCTTACACTTTAATGGCCATTGGAGTGATACTAAAAAAAACTCCAGTTATTTAAATGTGCCTGGGGATTTGGAATAGTGCACAAGTTACTTTTTTCTTTGTTTTTGTTTTTTTATTGTATGTATTGGGGCTGATATGTGTTATAATCATTGCTGCCACCCAGGAGTAGTGGGAGTTTGAGCGCAGGGCTTAACTTTGTATATTTGTATTTGCTTTTGTATTACACAGTCATGTTACAATGCTGCCGCCCACCCTATGCCCTATTTAGGGTTAATAAGTGTGTAGTGGTTTACCCCTATGGGTCTTATTAGAGATTTTGCTTATAGCTGAAAGCAGCAAGGTGAATAGTTAGTATAGGACCCATCTAAGAGGTTTTGCCTTGACGTGGTAGGTGAAATTACACTATAATGGCCATTGGAATAATACTAAGACATGTCCAGTTTTTTAAATGTGCATAAGGATTTGGGATAGTGTGCAAGTAACTTTTTTTCAGGTTATTATTCCAGCTTGGTAACCAAAATCTGCTAAGGTGTATGTGATGGCATAGATTTTGTTCTTGTCATTGAACTGGGACTTCAGGACCTGTTTGACTTTCTGGAGGTACTTGCATCTTGGAGCCATTGGTTGGTAGTTAGATGGTATTATTCTCTTGTGATAATCCTTTATGACCACTATTGGTCTGCCTTGTGTTAGCGTGTCAGAATGGGAGCTTTTGAAAGTAGCTGGTTCACATGTGCTGCTTGGCGTTCATGTAGCAGTTAGTTTCTTCATCCAGTAGGTTTGGATCATGTCAGGTCTTGGTGCTGACACTATTCTTTGTTAGATATTTCCTACTGTGATGGTGATTGCTTCCTGTTTTGGGAGCATCCAGTGGTCTGCTTTCAGGTCTGGTAGCCACTGGACCTTGGTGTTATATAAGTTATATTCAAAGGCTTGGCCTGCAGTTATGGGAGGGGCATGTTACCCTACTTAAACCCCCCTACTCACATTCCTCCGTCCCGTACGTGCTTTTAGCAATTCACATGTCCCCACCCTCCACTCCCTCTATCTATACTTTTCATTACACCTCATGGATGGGCCCTCTTTTATTACAGGTCTACCGCGACGTCGGTTCCGGCACACCTCAACCGACTTATTTCCCCCTTTACTATGCTACTCTTTGTATGCTTCCTATACGACCTTATTTGCTTCTCACACAAATGATGTTTCTTTCTTCCAGATATTCTTCCAGTACTGTTCAGTTTCAGCTTTGGGTGGCTCTGGAGTGGATTCCTTGTTACACTGCAGCTGTGCCTGTATCTTGGATGGATCTTGGTAAATACAGCATTTATTCTCTTAGCCTCGTCTGATTAGCCACAACACTAGTTAAAAGAGAAGACAACTTAGCTCTTGTAGGTACTGATCCAGTTCAATGGAGCAGCCTAACACCCAAGTCTTGTGTCTCTCTTATCCGGTAAAGTCAAATATGGCAAAAGGGTAGGTGCAGTGCTTGTGTAGTCCTTGGAAGATAAATGCAATGACAAAAAGGAAAACATTAGGGGAACTGACAGTGCAGTAAATAAAATATCTGGTGGGGAATGAAGTATGACTGTTACAGGGTTTTCTGTGAATAAAATTTGTAATTTGTCAGCACCAGGACTCATGGACTCTTAATCTGGCTCTGCCTACGTAGTCTGTGTTATGTGGTTTGGAATTGCTGCCATTTTATATCTTTTTTTTTTGTATACTTTGGAATATTGCACTTTTTTTTGCCTGTCATTTAGGCTGGTCTTTATGTTATCATATATTTCAGGACATATTTTGGCTGCCACATGACTCATTAAAATTAAAGGAACAGTACACTCATACCCACATAAGAATAATTGTGATAATTTCTGGCCACTACAGGCATTCCTGTTGGTTTGCTTATTGATAGCAGTGAATATTTCTCATGTTAGGACATTACTTGTGGAAAACATTTTTTTTCTGTATCACCACATTGTTATTATTGCCTACATTTGGTCTATTTGTGCTTAGACGTGCAGTTTCCTTTTTTATTTATTTTTTATTGGCATTATTAAAAAAATAATAATAATAATTGACAAATCCTACTCTTTTTGAGTGCGGATTCTATTATTTTTGTTGTATCTCTATTAGTGGGTACTGTGAAGAAATCCCTCTTTTATGTGTAATATTTCTTCCCTACCGAACAGAGACCACCCCCCTAGCTTGTTAAACTTCAAAGAATGCCTCAATTGAACCCTCTATCTGTGCGGTTGGCATTCGTACTACCGAACGCCACATGGCTGAGAAAACGGCGGTCATCTTTTTTCATGCGAACAAAGGCAGCGGGACTTGGTCGTAGAGTGTCTGGAACTAAAATCGGACAATCGACTTCCCGAAAACCGGTCTCAACATGCGAACGCTGGATCTCTATTTCCCGAAAAGCTAGAAGAGCGCTGTCCGGTACTTTTGTGCATTCGAATGAGGGGAACAATCACTGCTAAGAGCCAGGGGAATCCATTCGTGAAATTGTTTGGTTTTTATCACCTAACTGAATAGACCAGCAAAACCACCCAAACTCCTGGAACTATTTTGGGCAGCCACCTCGCGGTTAGCTGGTCACAAAAGACTTCCATACTTTTTGAGAACCCCTGAACCGATCTGGGTGAAATTTGAATATGTTGGTCACCCAGATCGGGGCTATCAGGGGACATTGTTTGTGGGGATACCCCATGCCTAAAGGGGTGTTCTGAATATTGGGGAAAATTGTAATTTTTCTGCCTGGAGATAATCACATTATTACTTTATCAGACTTGATTATCTCCAGGACTAGGGGAGGGAATTGTATGTTTGTGCTGGGTGTGTTTTACGGTTTTCCTATAACTGATTGGTGGTACTGTGTCCCACCCTGTGGGATGTCCCCTTGCATGGGAACTTGCATAAAAGCCACTGTGTGGTCATTAAAAGCCAGTTCTGTTGTACCCTTCTTCTTGACTTCGGCTGATTTTTGGGGATTTGTATGCTTTATTAAGGGAATTATCTTGTAAAGCTATTGTGTTCGTATGGATTTCGTTTATTTCATCTACTGAACGGAGAGCTATAATCACTGAGGCTCTGGCGATTCGGGAGGAAACTACCGAATGAGGATTGGATATACTAGGTTTCCTTACAGGTACCTTAGTGGAGACTAACCCATTTGAATCCTGCACCAATTTATCTTTGTTTATGGCTATTTAGGCAATGTGGTGTGGCTGGTATATTTCCTTTTCTTTTACTATTTGTTCAATGTGGTGTGGTTGGTATATTTCCCTTTTTTATACTATATGTTCAATGTGGTGTGGTTGGTATATTTCCTTTTTTTGTTCTATGCTATATGTTCAATGTGGTGTGGTTGGTATATTTCCTTTTTTTGTACTATTTGTTCAATGTGGTGTGGTTGGTATATTTCCTTTTTTTTGTACTATTTGTTCAATGTGGTGTGGTTGGTATATTTCCTTTTTTTGTACTATATGTTCAATGTGGTGTGGTTGGTATATTTCCTTTTTGTGTTCTATGCTATATGTTCAATGTGGTGTGGTTGGTATATTTCCTTTTTTTGTTCTATGCTATATGTTCAATGTGGTGTGGTTGGTATATTTCCTTTTTTTGTACTATTTGTTCAATGTGGTGTGGTTGGTATATTTCCTTTTTTTTGTACTATTTGTTCAATGTGGTGTGGTTGGTATATTTCCTTTTTTTGTACTATATGTTCAATGTGGTGTGGTTGGTATATTTCCTTTTTGTGTTCTATGCTATATGTTCAATGTGGTGTGGTTGGTATATTTCCTTTTTTTGTTCTATGCTATATGTTCAATGTGGTGTGGTTGGTATATTTCCTTTTTTTGTACTATATGTTCAATGTGGTGTGGTTGGTATATTTCCTTTTTTTTGTACTATGCCATATGTTCAATGTGGTGTGTTTGGTATATTTCCTTTTTTATACTATATGTTCAATGTGGTGTGGTTGTTATATTTCCTTTTTTTGTTCTATGCTATATGTTCAATGTGGTGTGGTGTTATTTCATAATCATGTGTTTTCCAGGATGGTTGATCCAGTTAATGGAAAATAATTGACAATATTCATAACAGAGCACCATATGAAAATACATACAGGGAGTGCAGAATTATTAGGCAAGTTGTATTTTTGAGGATTAATTTTATTATTAAACAACAACCATGTTCTCAATGAACCCAAAAAACTCATTAATATCAAAGCTGAATATTTTTGGAAGTAGTTTTTAGTTTGTTTTTAGTTTTAGCTATGTTAGGGGATATCTGTGTGTGCAGGTGACTATTACTGTGCATAATTATTAGGCAACTTAACAAAAAACAAATATATACCCATTTCAATTATTTATTATTACCAGTGAAACCAATATAACATCTCAACATTCACAAATATACATTTCTGACATTCAAAAACAAAACAAAAACAAATCAGTGACCAATATAGCCACCTTTCTTTGCAAGGACACTCAAAAGCCTGCCATCCATGGATTCTGTCAGTGTTTTGATCTGTTCACCATCAACATTGCGTGCAGCAGCAACCACAGCCTCCCAGACACTGTTCAGAGAGGTGTACTGTTTTCCCTCCTTGTAAATCTCACATTTGATGATGGACCACAGGTTCTCAATGGGGTTCAGATCAGGTGAACAAGGAGGCCATGTCATTAGATTTTCTTCTTTTATACCCTTTCTTGCCAGCCACGCTGTGGAGTACTTGGACGCGTGTGATGGAGCATTGTCCTGCATGAAAATCATGTTTTTCTTGAAGGATGCAGACTTCTTCCTGTACCACTGCTTGAAGAAGGTGTCTTCTAGGAACTGGCAGTAGGACTGGGAGTTGAGCTTGACTCCATCCTCAACCCGAAAAGGCCCCACAAGCTCATCTTTGATGATACCAGCCCAAACCAGTACTCCACCTCCACCTTGCTGGCGTCTGAGTCGGACTGGAGCTCTCTGCCCTTTACCAATCCAGCCACGGGCCCATCCATCTGGCCCATCAAGACTCACTCTCATTTCATCAGTCCATAAAACCTTAGAAAAATCAGTCTTGAGATATTTCTTGGCCCAGTCTTGACGTTTCAGCTTGTGTGTCTTGTTCAGTGGTGGTCGTCTTTCAGCCTTTCTTACCTTGGCCATGTCTCTGAGTATTGCACACCTTGTGCTTTTGGGCACTCCAGTGATGTTGCAGCTCTGAAATATGGCCAAACTGGTGGCAAGTGGCATCGTGGCAGCTGCACGCTTGACTTTTCTCAGTTCATGGGCAGTTATTTTGCGCCTTGGTTTTTCCACACGCTTCTTGCGACCCTGTTGACTATTTTGAATGAAACGCTTGATTGTTCGATGATCACGCTTCAGAAGCTTTGCAATTTTAAGAGTGCTGCATCCCTCTGCAAGATATCTCACTATTTTTGACTTTTCTGAGCCTGTCAAGTCCTTCTTTTGACCCATTTTGCCAAAGGAAAGGAAGTTGCCTAATAATTATGCACACCTGATATAGGGTGTTGATGTCATTAGACCACACCCCTTCTCATTACAGAGATGCACATCACCTAATATGCTTAATTGGTAGTAGGCTTTCGAGCCTATACAGTTTGGAGTAAGACAACATGCATAAAGAGGATGATGTGGTCAAAATACTCATTTGCCTAATAATTCTGCACTCCCTGTATGCTAAATGAATAACCAATAAATATTCCACCCACAGAAACCTATGGGACAAAAAAAAATTATGTACTCTTATATTTTAATTAAAAAAAAAAAAAAAAGCTTACTGACATTTATGCGCTCACACAAAGGACCCAAGCGTGAGCACTTTAATCCTCTCAATGTCTCATGTGAGCAAATCATGCACTCCCAATGGCAGTGCTCATGTCTTATATATTCAATGCACATTCACAAATCTATGAGGAACACCACATTGAACATATAGTATAAAAAAGGAAACATACCAACCACACCACATTGAACATATGGCATAGTACAAAACAAGAGGAAATATACCTACCACATCACATTGAACATATAGTATAGTACAAAAAAAGGAAATATACCAACCACACCACATTGAACATATAGTATAAAAAAAAGAAATATACCAACCACACCACATTGAACATATAGCATAGTACAAAAAAAGGAATATACCAACCACACCACATTGAACATATAGTATAAAAAAAAGAAATATACCAACCACACCACATTGAACATATAGCATAGTACAAAAAAAGGAAATATACCAACCACACCACATTGAACATATAGTATAAAAAAAGGAAATATACCAACCACACCACATTGAACATATAGCATAGTACAAAAAAAGGAAATATACCAACCACACCACATTGAACATATAGTATAAAAAAAAGAAATATACCAACCACACCACATTGAACATATAGCATAGTATGAAAAAAAGGAAATATACCAACCACACCACATTGAACATATAGCATAGTACAAAAAAAAGGAAATATACCATATATATACCAAAGGAAATGGTACAGTTCGGTTACTATACAATCCATTGATTGGTGGACAGGAAGAGTATTTTTTCTAAACCCCGCATGGCCCCTGAAGGTCTGACTTGCAGTGGAAACGCTCACCATAATAGGCTGGACCATTCTAAACGTTCCAAACTGTACCGACCCGAATCGATCTGCTCAGTGGAAACGAGGCAATAGTCCTACACTAACTATTCACCTTGCTGCTTTCAGCTAAAAGGTGAAATCTCTAATAAGATAGAAAGGGGTATTTTTCAAAACCCCTACACACTTATAAACCCTTAATATGGAACACATAGGTGGGCTTCATCACTGTAACATGGCTGTGTAATACAAAAGCAAGTGAAAATGTACATTCTGGACAGCATCCTTCCTAACATTTCAAATGGACAAAGAGGGACAGTTTAATTTTAGGGGTGTGAGTAAGTGTGTGGCCAGGGGTGGACTGCTCTGGGGGATATATATACACTGAAATCTATTTTTGGGGGATATATATACACTGAACAAAATTATAAACGCACACTTTTATTTTTGCCCCCATTTTTCATGAGCTGAACTCAAAGAATTCTGGCTGCAGATACTGACTGGTTTTCTAACCCCTACACCCCCCCTGGAACCCCTCAATACAGTAAAACTGCACATTTTAGAGTGGCCTTTTATTGTGGCCAGCCTAAGGCACACATGTGCAACAATCATGCAGTCTAATCAGCATCTTGATATGCCACACCTGTGAGGTGGATAGATTATCTCGGCAAAGGAGAACTGCTCACTAACACAGATTTAGACAGATTTGTGGACAATATTTGAGAGAAATAGGCCTTTTGTGTACATAGAAAAAGTCATAGGTCTTTGAGTTGAGCTCATGAAAAATGGGGGACAAAAGCAAAAGTGTTGCATTTATAATTTTGTTCAGTGTAGATTATAGTGGAATGGAACCCCTCAGCACAACTATAATGATCTATTTTACCAGAGCTTTTCTGACAAACATATGAGCAATACGAGGTAGAGAATGCACATGGTAGGTATATAAATGTAGGTGTGACAGTGATTGCATGAATGGGATCTAGCAATGATTGCATGGATGGGACACTATGCAGATCATGCATACTTTATAGTTACCATGTGTCAGGTAAAAAAGTTGACCAGTAAACAATAATGCAGAGATTTGTATTTTATTGATTGTTAGGCAAAAGTTGCACGTCAGATGCCCGTGTGTTCCTAATACTGCTGGGCAATTTGCGTAGTAATTTATGTTAGAGATATTAGAGTTGGTTTTATGTGATATTAACCAAACAGTAAAAAGGCACATTTATCAAAATACCCACAAATTAAAAAGTAGTTGTATACTTTCCGTGGTCACTTTTTTAGGTACATCTTTATGATACCAAATAGGATTCTTTTTCCCCAGTATAGCCTTGATTCTTCATGGCA